GATAGGTTAGATAAGATCGGTTAGCTAAGATAGGTTAGCTAACATAGTTTATCCAAGCTAGGTTAGCTAAGATAGGTTAGATAAGATTGGTTAGCTAAGATAGGTTAGCTAGGCTAGGTTAGCTAAGCTAGGTTAGCTAAGATAAGTTAGATAAGATCGGTTATCCAAGATAGGTTAGCTAAGCTAGGTTAGCTAACATAGGTTAGCAGGGGGACATAGACATGGAGGGACGGGTCACTGATGCTAACCGCTCAGCTCCAACATCCTGTCGGGTCAGGGCCTCCTCCATAGAGTTACAGCTACATTTATTCATCAGGAAGATGCTTTTATCCAAAGCTAATATAAGGAAAAGGGCTCTAAACTCCAGCTCCAGCTAGCTACATGCTAGCAGAGGCTTTAGCATTAAGGCTTTAGCATCCAGCTCCACTCTGAGCTCAGCCGGATGCTACATGCTAGCAGAGGCTTTAGCATTAAGGCTTTAGCATCCAGCTCCACTCTGAGCTCAGCCTGATGTTACAAGTTAGCAGAGGCTTTAGCATTAAGGCTTTAGCATCCAGCTAGAACACAAATTCCACAGCTAGCATCCATTGATGCTACATGCTAACAGGAAGTGGAAGACTTTAAAGAGTCTTCCACTTACTAGGTTTCAGATGAGCAGTTTTAGTCCTTCAGATTTGAGTAAAACCCTTATTTGTGTAACAGAATCCTTAAAAAGTGGAGAAACGTATGCTAGCATGAACCTTACACTGACAGAGATAGAAAATTTTGACTCATTTAATCCCATGTGGAAATCTTCTCATTAGGCCATAAACAGCCATTCATTATTATTATTATTATTATTATTGCTACATGCTAACAGGAAATAAGAGACTTTAGAGACACTATCTATCTATCTATCTATCTATCTATCTATCTATCTATCTATCTATCTATCTATCTATCTATCTATCTATCTATCTATCTATCTATCTATCTATCTATCTATCTATCTATCTATCTATCTATCTATCTATCTATCTATCTATCTATCTATCTATCTATCTATCTA